CAACCCAGACTTGGCCCCAGGACCTTGGGGGACAGAGAATCGATGATGAGAGCAGTCTTTGTGGACCTGTTGTGCAGAAGGCAAGGTGGGCATTGGGGGTGGTGACTGAGGAAGGACAGGACGGATGACAGGACTCTACCACTGGCTGGTGCAGAGTGTGTGGCCAGGGACTCGTCCTAGGTGGGCAGTGGCTGGGCATGTTCAGAGGCATCCAACAGAACCTCCAAGGGTCTGAGGTCCAAGTGAGATGAGGTCTCAAGACACTGCAGTCTAACCAATCAGACACTGGGCCAAAGCCATACTACCCCTCAGCTTCAGGTGTACTTAGTCGAGCCTGCACAGAACAGGAAGGTGGCTGGGCAGCCCAGGTTCTCGAGGCTGACGTCTGTCCCAGAGAACCCTGAGACTGTTTTGCAGGTGCCAACATTTCCGACTGGCGGTGCATGGCTACCAACCCAGGCAGGCAAGCTGTTGCTGTCGCACATTTTGACGTGGGCACAGGTGGCACAAGCTTTTTCCTGAGAAAGAAGGTAGCCCAACCTTGAGCCAACAGAACCACACCCGGCTCTGTGCTAGAAAGGACCCCATTACAAAAATGGCCAAGTATGGGAGAAAACGGGCAGGAGGGCCAGGTCTGGAACTACCAGCAGGGTCAGAGTGGGGTCTGTCAAAAAGGTTCTTGAGGAATTCTTCTAGACTATAGACTATGAGTTCTGAATCCCACAGCATCTAATCCACTGTTAATTGATGCCATCCTTTGTGTGTGTGTATTTTAGTAAGGGTCTATAGGGTCTTACCATGTAGCTTGGATTCACAGGGATCCGCCTGTGTTCAGCCTCCCAAAAGCTGAGATTAGAGGCAATCACCACTACACCGTCTCAGCACCCCCCAGGCGTGGGGCTGACATGGCACGCTGGGGATCAAACCTCAGCCCCCTGCATCTGCCTGAACAGGCGCTTTAATCTGCTGAGCTATTTGGCCAGCCCTAATGTCATCCCATTTTTAAAACTTGCCACAAATATTGCTAACAGGCATTTTTGGTGAAAATGCTGACTAAAGAGAAAAGTGCCCACCTGTGATCACTGGGGACCAAGTGGCGAGCAGAGCAGGTCTCTCCTGAGTATTGTTCTACGCTCAGTGTGGTCAGCTTCTGGAGGATTCATAGAACTTGGTTCCACATAATTCCTAACAGTTTTCTGTGTGCATTTCTCATTCAGTTGATTCATGCCCACTGTAGAAAATCTGGGTTACATTAAAAAGTGTGATGAAAGTAAAGTGATCTCTAATTCCTCCAAACAGCAGGGTAGCCAACATCACCATCCTGGCCTGGAGGGAAAGAGCAGTCCCCAAAATGTCCCTCGGGTGACTATGGGCTGCTGGTGAGCGTGGACTGGCCCCAACGACAGCTCCAGATCTGCTGCAGCACAGACCCTGCGGGGGCCCCAGTACCCACCCTGACGGGGCTGTGGAAGTGCGGCTGCTGTGCACCCCGGTCGGGCTCGCGTCTCGGCTGCCGTCACTGCCTCACTTCCTCTACTGTCTTGCTCCTGGCTTCTGGGACTCCCAGAGCATGTCTGGAAACAACCCTGCAAGCTCTGCATGCGGCTGCTCCAGTGGTCCGGGCCACTAGGCACGGGTGCCGCACCTCATGGGAGGTCACGCAGGATGGCCACCGACATTCAGCCCTGGGGCTCCTACAAAGGTCTCGGTCCTACCGACCAGCAGCAGCTTAGGGACAGAGCCCGGAGCTGAGGCTAGAGTTCAGCCATAGAACATGTGCTCAGCATGTGCAGGGCCCCAGGTCTCACACCGTCTAGTATCCCAGTCAGGCGACATTTGCTGTGTGTACAGAGAGAACTGCCTGCAGGGAACGACCGTTACGGCTGAGATCTAAAACGTCCCCACGAGCGAAGGTGGCTGGATCAGGCAGGAGCTCCAAGGCATTCACAGCCGGATGTGCTGAGGTGGCAGCGGGTGCCTTCTTGTTCTTGGCTCCTCCTTCCCCCTGCTCCCTTGAGGCCACGCATGTGCTGCTTCCCCCTGCCACGCCCTTCCACCATGATGTTTCCACATTGGAGCCAGCTGAGCACAAAATGAATGCTCTGAAACCGTGAGGCAAAGAAGCCTCTCCTCTCTGAAGCTGTGGACAGTGGATCTTCTGTCCCAGCCATGGAAGGTGATGAATACATGGGTGATTCCTTCCAAGCCTCCAAGGAGACCAGCACAGTCCTGCGGCACAGGTCCAACTCCTGTCCTTGACACCTCCTGGGAGCCCGTCACAGACACGGGCTGGGCGCAGCTCGGCAGCGGCCTGCATGCTGTGCACTGCTCCCTCTGGACGGGACCCTGCGTGGCTGAGGGCCCTTCCAGGCCTCTAGTGCCTGCAGCCACGGCCCAGAGCCTGAGTAAAGTGCACAAAGCACTGTGGCTCCCATGGAGCCCCAAATGCTGCCAGGGCCCAGCACGCAGGACGCACCAGCCCCCCGCCCCCTCCCCCGAGCTAGTACCAGTGGCCACTGTGCCGGTAGGTGCAGGCTGAGGGGGCCCCTCCTCCGTGCCCCGATGAGGCTTGTTCTCAGGGATGGGAACCATCAACCACACCTGGTGAGGAGGTGAGGTCTGCGGGGCTCAGGTCTTGGGCTTTCCCAGGCTGCCCTGGCCGACGCTCTCATTACTCTGTGACTCTCAGGGACAGACCGCAGGCCTGTCTCCTCACAAGTCTTTGTCTAGAGTCCCAAGGTTGTTCCTGTGAAGTCACAGGCTGACAAGAACCAGCTGGTCTCCCACGTGCAGCTCTGTCCCGTCTCCCATGTGCAAGGGGCTGGCGACCACCACAGGACAGCAGCCATGTCCTGGGAGGTCCTGAAAAGCTGTTAATGAACCGAGTCTCCTGAACAAACCCTGCTGCTGTGACAAAATGCCCGAGACAGACAAACCCAGGAACGATGACCCGGGCTTGTGGTTCTGTGGCACAGGTGACAGCACCGGGACATCCCAGGGCATGAGTAAACTGGCTCCTTGACCAAAAACATCCTCCCTGATCTGGCCTGGGCAGCAGTGGGCTCTGTCTCGGGTGGTCTGTGGGGAGACTAGAAACAGCTGCAGAAACACAAGTCGTGGGCCAGCCAGCCAGCCCAGAGGATTACAGTGCCTGCTTAGGCAGGTGCGGGGCCCAGGGCGTCGATCGCCAGCCCGCCGTGCCAGCAACTGGGACTGGCTGCGGTGGTGCACTCGTAATCCCAGGGCTTGGAAGGCTGAACCTGTACAGGACCACTACAAGGCCGATACATGTAGCGAGACCCTGTAGACCCTGTGCTAAATACATTATAAGAAAAAAGGAACACAAGTCTTCAAGATGCCCCTGGGTCAGCTGGAAAGTGCTCGGCCATGGCTGCACCGGTTTCCGCTCTGCTTTCTGCTGCACCCATGCCTGGGTTAGAGGGACTCCTGCGGCCCTCAGGCCCACGGGCCCTGGGCTCCTTAAAGGCAAGGTGGACAAGGTCTCTGAGGTCACCATCTGCCTCACCTACCCCAACGTCTCACCAACCTCAGGTACCACACACCCAACTTCACCAAAAGTAGCAAAAAGGGCAACTGAGGCAGGAGCAACCTCTTGGAAGTCTCTCGTACTGTCTCTCTGTGCTGAGGCTGAACCAAGGCTCCTGCACTGAGCTACATCTCTGTATCTCTTCAACTTTGTTTTCAGGTAGGGTCTCACTAAGCTGCCCAGGCTGGGCTTGAACTGCTGATGCTCCTGCCTTCTGAATTCCTTCCGGGCTGTAGTGGGCAGGGCCAGCCTGGAAGCAGAGCCCGGGCTTGAGCTCTGCCGCTGCACAGCAGCCACGCGCTGCATGCTGTGGCGGCGCAGCTCGGGCTCGCACCCGCGGCAGGAGCTATTTCAGCTCTGGGGACACAGACCTGCCCAGCACAAGTGGGGTCACCAGCTAAGGGCCACCAAGCAAGAACTCCAGCTATGACAGCGTGGTAAGTAGATTTTCTAAGCCAGTAGTCTCCAAAGGGTACAGATCAAGCGTGCCTCCTGGGTTCTCCCGGAGTCCCACCAAGTTATGTTTCACCGCAAAACTGAAGCGCTGGGCACAAGCATGCACATGACACGCCAGCGCAGCCAGCACCCTCGCCCAGGCCCAGTCCACGCTCCCCCTGGCGAACACACAGTCTTGTCGTAATACTTTTTTTTTTTTATTACAATATCCAAAAAATTGGGTATGCAAGTTTAGGGGATCTCAAGACCCCTGCTTTGATCGTAGGAATGTGCCACCTCAAGACTGTATTTCATCTATAAAGAAGTTCAAATGTAAAGAAAAAGGAAAACGCGATTTCTTAATAAACATTCTGTGTGTCTTTTCCTACCATCACGTATTCTTTTGTAAACCCTGAAAAAGTTTCCCTGTAAAGCAAATAATACATATATATATATACATAACATAGATGTAGTATATATATATATATATATATATATACATACATACACTTAGAGTGTGTGTGTGAAGTACGGACTGCTTTCCTTCCCCAAGATCAGCTCCTTCCCTTAATCATTGCTATTAGTGTCAACAAACGGCTACAGATACATATTGAGAATTAAATACGTAATCGTGAAATTCAAACAAGCCAAAGGGCAGAGGAGAAAGCACTGTGTGACGGCACATCTGGGATCAATCGCCGATGTCCTCTTCCAGGGCACAGCCTCCCGCGCGCGTGCGTGCGCACACCGCCTCGGGAGAGCTCTCGCCGCGCAGCTGCGAAGGCACTGGCAGCTCCCCGGCTGCCTGCCGGGTTCCGGTATTGCTCTCACCCGGCCCCCCGCCACAGAGGGCTGTGGGGACCGGGCCTGGCGCCTGCTGCCCCATGGCAGGGAGGCCGCAGCTCGGGAGCAGCGTCCGGTGTGCGTGGCCCACCGGCTCGCTGCTGCCCAAGGTCCCGGGGGTCACCCCGGTGCAGCGCCCCATCGAGGCCAGGCAGCCTGGGGTAGCGGCGGGAGCCACCCGCGCGGGCAGAAAGATGGACCGCACGGCACCGCACCGCCGGCAGGCAGCGGGCGAGGTGGCCGCGGAGGCCGGGGTGGGGGCGCAGCCTCCACAGCTGCGGTCACTGCAGGGCGCGGACGAGGTAGAGCTTCTCGCCGTGCTCGCTGGTGAAGATGGGCGCCTTCTTGTAGTGCTCCACCAGCTCGTCCATGCTGTGGAAGCGCCGCTGCCCGATGCAGTACACGTTGTCCAGCAGCTGCACCTTGAAGTGCTTGTTCTTCCCCGACGCTTTGAGGGACACGGAGAAGTCGCTGGGCTGCGGGGGAAGCACAGGGAGGTCAGCACCGGCGGAGCAGGGCGCGGAGGGCACTGCGGGGTCAGGGGCAGCACCCAGAGCCGCGGGGCGGGGCTCAGGGAGCATGCGCGCACTCTTCGGGAGGAGCCGGTTAATACGCCGCGTGGGCCGCGCTCGCCAAGTGTAAGGACACGCAGCCGGGAGCTCTTTTCCCAAACCTTAGCACCCTTGAGCGCTTCACAGCGCGCTGCGCAAGGCGGCAGCTCCAAACCCCACCAGAAACAGAGCCGTCAAGTACTTCCTGGCTCTAAGCTCCGCAGCAAGAGAGATCTGGGAAAACGGGTGCAATTTCCGCAGAATTCGGAACACACCCAAGGGGCCTGCAGCTCAGTGAAGGAAAAGCCGCTCAGTGCAGCAACGTGTCAGGATAGCCCTTTTCTGAGGATATTTTAGACGTATGCCACTAGTTTTATTAAATTCGCCTTTTTATTTCAATTCCTGAAAAACATGCAGGAAGGACACTGAGTGCAGAATGCTCTTGGTAAAAATAATTCTGTAAACTGCAACTATCCCTGGGGATGACTGCATACCCAGCTGCAGGGCCCAGGCACACAGGGCGACAGTGCCAGCTCTGGGGTGGCAGTGTGGGGACGCTGGTGCAGGACAGGCTGCAAACTGCTGGGGTCCATGAGGGAAGGGCAGCTCCTGTGGGCCAGAGGCAGGAGGAAAGGCTGTGTGTGTGTGCATGTGTGAGAGGGAGCATGTGCATGTGTGTGAGAATGTGTGTGTGAAGATGTATAACTGTAGTCTGTGTGTGTGGCTGTGCATATGTACAGTGTATGTGAATGTGTGTATATGTATGAGTGCATGTTAGTGCATGTGTAATGAGTGTGTATGTGAACCTGTGTATAACTGTGTATCGGTGCATGTGTGTCTCTACATAGAAGCATGTGCCTGTAGATGTGAGCATACACGTGGGGGTGTGCATGTGTGCACGGGTGTACATGTGTGCACGGGTGTGCATCCTCACAGTGCCAGATGCGGGCAAAGGCCCAGAAGACTTGGCAGCCGAGCCCAAGTGGTGATGCAGTGTGGGCGGGCCCGGGGAGCGCAGGAGCATCACCCTCCAGGGTCCCTGCAGTCCCAGTGTCCTCCCCCAGCTGCTGGATGCAGCACTCTGGGCCACCTGTGTACCTTGGCGGGCTGTGCCCTCAAGCTCCGGGCCCAAGCACCCTTCAGAAGCCTCCCAAGCCCCGGCCCAGGGCAGCTCAGCATCTTAGCTCCTCGGGTCTGGGGTCCAGGCAACCTATGAGGCTCCAGCTTGGGCAGTGCCTACAGACCCTTGGCTTGGACGGCCTGTGTCCCCGGGGACCCAGATGCTTACCCATGTCCCTCTCACAGGACCCCCAGGGCCACCCCAGCATCAGAGCAGAGGTACAATTCTGCAACGTAAGGGCAGTAAGGGGGGCAGTTCTGGATGACTCCTGCCACTGAGCCACAGCTGCTGTGGGAAGGAACGGTGGACACGATGTCGTCACCATTCACACATACACATCCCACTGCCCAGAACGGGCCGAGCGAGGGCCAGTGTTCTGGGAGTGCAAGGCAAGGGCTGAGTGCCCAGAGCTACCGGGAGTGCAGGAAGAAATTTCGGGAAGAGGCCCAGGCCACGGAGCCTAGGAGCAGACAGAAGACAGAGACAGACATCGAGGGGGGGCCAGAGCTCATGGAAGCCTGCGAACCAGCCCACACGCAGCACAGCAGCCTGCATTCTGGGGCAACTTCCAGACCTCACACGGCCTGAAAGCTCTGTTCCTGAACACTGCCCCGCTCTCCAGAGAAAGCATAATTCACAAGCCAGGCCCAGTGACACAGAGAGGACGGTAACAACTTCAGAGAACAACTCCAGCCACAGGCGGTGAGGAAAGCTCTGCGGGCACGGACTCGCTCCATTCCGGGTGTCTCGCGCCTTCCTCCACCACTTCGCTCCCAGGACGCACACACCCGCCTGCAGTACAGGAAGGGCCTGCATCCAGGGCCATTTTAAAGTGAAAAACCAGTGACCTGGACACAAGCAGGTGACCTGAGCATCTGACAACCCAGGCAGCTACACAAGGGGACAGTGTGGGATTGCATCCTGCCACTTGGGCAGGGAGCCGTGTAAAACCTCAGACCTGTAGAGCCCTGGAGTTTTCCACTTGACGTTTTCAGCCTGTAGGCAACCGAGAAAAGGAGAGCTGGGAATCGGGATCACGACCTTCCACTCTGGGCAGCCCGGCGCCCGTGGTGGCCACCGCTCTGAACGGTTGCCTCCTCTATGGGACCTCACGGGATGGATGCAGCCAGCCCCAGCCTCGTCTGTGTGACTGTCCACCTGTGGCTCTCAATAGACGCCCACGACTCAGGCACTGCGCAGCGGCGCTGCCCTCAGGCAAGGCACGGCTGCATTTGAGCTCCCTAACTCAGCATTAGGGTGCACAAATGCGCACTACGGCAGCCACACTGGGGGGCAGGAAGGGTCGTTTTTAATTTCATGGACTCCTGAGCAGAAACCTTAAAGTTAAGGATGCAGAACAAATGCGGCCAAGCAGGAGCCTGAAAGTCTCAGAGCTTAATTCACATGGAGCAGACTTTCCCCAGGGAACCTGAACACAAGTGAGCCCGCCCTGCACACACCGTCTGCGGCTAGGGCTCAGTGTCCCTGGCCTCCCCCGAGATGCTGGCGACCAGAGTGCTCCAGGCTTGGGATCTGCTATGAACAATTGCATGAGGAGCTATTGGGGGGCTGGGGCTCATCTAGCGCAGAGTTCACTTACGTCTCACACGCTATGCACACAGCACATGATGATTCTGTCCTCGAGACAACCGTCACGAAGCGGAACTGACCACTGGTGTCTCCTCATGCGCCACGCACAAGACTTCAGCCTTGGCAGCATTCTGGATCTGGGTTGAGGGTGGCTCACAGGTGGGGGAGGAGCAGGCAGGGCTCTGGAAGCACCCGAGCTGGCCTCCTCCGCCCAGCCACCTCGGCCCTCTCTGTTTCACTGTGTGTCCTCCAGGGGACCCTGAAGCCTACTTGCTGGGAGCTGCTAAGGCTGGAAACATCCTATGCGGGAGGGCACAGTGAGGCCTCACTGCCTAAAGCAGTCACGCTACCTCAGTCTTGAGAAAAACATCCTGCCTGGACGTTGTGGGCTATTAGTCACTCGGCAACCTGCCTCCTGCAACTTTGCAAAGGTATAAACTACTGTTGTTTGGTGGCCTTTGCCCATCAGGCTTGGTCCACCACCTGACCTCAGCTATTATCTCATCTTTCTCTTCTAAACCTTCTCGCCATTCTCTCCTGGGGATCACAGGGAGGCTGCCGAAGCCCTGCGCCTCCTGAGACCAAGCACACCGGGGTGGGGCACTGGCTGTGCTGGAGCCACCGACCAAGTGGCCCAGCAGCCCCACAGGGGGACCCTAACGCCTCACAGTGCGCTGAGCCTTCAGCCCCACAAGATGCTGCTGTGGGGAAGTTCTGGGCTGCAGAGTAGCCTGAGGTCTCCTCTCCTCACGCTGAGCAGTCCTGGGTCTGCCGGTGCCACAGCTGGACCAACAACTCCACCCAGGCGGCAACACCCGGCCTACAGATGAACACCGTGCGCTGCTGGGGAGGGCGACCAGCCTTGTGCGCGCGGCAGGAACAGAGGCCAAAACCGCTGCTGTGGAAAGCCATGCTGGTTCCTCAAAAAATTAAAACTAGAGTTGGTGCCTGATCCAGCCACGCCGCCCCCAGGCAGACACACAAAGCAAACAGAAACAGGCCGGGTCCCTGCGCCCACCTTCACAGCAGCGTGCCCAAAGTGGAAGCACCCAGGTGCCCACCAACAGGTGCAGCATGGAGATGACGGGGTGCTGTCCAAGAAGGGACTGTCAGGCCTCCATGAGGAGCGAGAAGGCACTCCCTACGCCTGGCCAGACTGCGGTGGTGGTGCACAGGAGCGCAACGGTCACCGAGGGACAGGCCTCTCACGCCTGATGTCGAGAGCCGAATTCACGGTACAGAGTAGGATGGGTCTTGTGGGGCCGAGGTGGGGAGTCTGGGCGGACTCCTGCCCCAACGCCGGGAAAGGGCTCGCCGCACTTGGCGAAGCACTCAGCTTGCTGGCACTGAGCTCTACCGGGGAAGCACCTCCAGGGCTTGTGCCCGTGGCAGAGTGCAGGCACTCCCACGGGCTCACATGGACAGCCACGCCCCTCCTGCCCCAGATGCATAGGCAGGGGGAGGGCCACACCAGGGGGGAACAGGAGCACGTGACCATCACGGCTAGCTCGTGGCATCTCGGACGGGGGACACCTGCAGAGCAGCGGCAGCTTCTCCACGTGTGCGGCCAGGGGTGCCGGTGTGCTCCTGCATCCCCAGCAGCCAGGAGGCCCAGGCAAGAGGATCCCTGGTTCTAGTGCAGCTGGGGCAACACAGTGAGACTCTATCTCAAAATAAAAAGAAGGAAAAAAAGAAAAAGAAAAAGAAAAAACAACAAGGTCTGGGAGTGGAACTCAGTGCAAGGTTCCAGGTTCAACCCCCAGTGCCACCAAACACACAACAGTAACTTCAGCAGTGCCCTCCAATGCCAACCTATGGGTATCTTTGGGTCGGGTGACACCAGTCAGTCCTTCAGAGAATGTAACACCTGCACCCTCCCTTCCCTCCGTGCTGTTTTGTTTTAGAAAATACCAGTCAAAGGGGCTGGTGGTCCCCCTCCACTCACTCCACTGCTGAAGGGCGTAACTTGTCTGCTGGGGCAAGCCTGGCTCGGAGGGAAGGCCTCACGCTTCCGAGGGCTCTGCGCACGCCAGCCACGTAAGCGACAGGGTCTTGTCTGACCCACGTCCTTCTGTACTGCACCTTTAAATGTTCCAGAGGGAAACTCCTCTCATGCATGCCATCAGTGGTATGTGAGTTTCACAGAAATTAGAGCTAATACCGCTGAGCCCAATTTGGACGTACTTTCTTCTTTGGCTGGGGAAGTTGTTCTTTGGTCCCAGCTGGATGAAGAACAGTTCTCTCACCCGTGGAGGTGGTGAGGACCCTCTGGGGACATCAGGGTAAGTGGTGAGGGAAGGGCCCACGGGGGCTGGGACCGGGACTGTGGCAAGGAGTGCACGGGTGTCGACTGCAGGTCACCAGCAATGTGAAGACGTGACGGTGACACACCCAACATGTGCCACAGCCCAGGACCTACTCCTGGCCAGCTCTTCCCCTCCCTAGGGACAGGGAGTGGGGGGAGCGTTAGGAAAATGCTGTGCCCCATTCTACCCTCCCCGTGTGTCACATGCCCATCTCCCCCCAAGAAAAAAAATAGGTAAAAATGCATGTGCTACACAAACCAGGTGTCCCTCCTAGAAACACAGAAGCCTCAGATTTGGACCAGTAAAGAGGCACCCTGGAGACGGGGCCCAGGTCTGCACGCAGGACTCAGCTGGGTTTGGGTCCTGTGTCCTGGTCCTGTGCAGACTTTGGATGTGTAGCCGGGGTCAGACAGTTTGTGCGGCCTATGCCCAGCCCTGTAATGGTGACACAGTCCCACGAGGCCAGGAGCGCCCGTGTGACATCCTGCTGCGGCTCAGAAAGCTCCAGATTTTACAACACTTGGGATCTGGGGTCAGGGATACTCCGCCGGCATTTATTTTCTTTTACACAGAATGAGGTAGAAATGAAACTCGCTCCAAGCCTTTTGGAAGTGTGGAGTGGATTTCAGGCTGGGCCTAATTCTTCAGGGTGCGCAGGATCACAAGAGGCCACCTCCCACACAGGAGGACGCCATGGACCCACCAAGGCCGGGGACTGGGCGTACCCCAGCCTCCAGGACACGCCATCGCTACGCCCTGCTGCACACGCCGACCGCGGCACCCGCCTCACAGACGGCAGCGTGGCCTCAGCTGCTCGCTACAGCTACAAGGACACGGAAGCCAGAACCCAGCACAGCTGAGAAGCCGATGCTAAGCGGGCATGGGGCGGCTCCAGGGGAGTGCCACCGGCGGGCCTCAGAGAGCCCAGACGCGCAGCTCAGGGCATGACACGAAGCCAGGCCACCAGCAGAAGGCAGCGCCCCAGGGCCTGCGCTCCCTCTTCACGGAGCACAAGGGCACAGCTTCAGCGCATGCTCCAAGAGCAAACGTGTGAGCAGGAAGCCATGAGATGAATTCGGCAACAGAGGCAAATGCCTCTACATGGAAGTGAACTGCAGGGCAGACTGGGATCTTCACCTTTAAGCATTTCTTACAACTCCTGGGGAGGCACTGCTGTGCAGAAATGGTGTTGCAAAACAGATGAACGAAACCATTGTAAGGTCACAGTAATGCTCAGGACCAGTGCTGCCAAAGGGATGTGCTGCTGGTGCAAATTCTGGGGCCCCGACCAGAAGGCTGTGGTGGGGGGGCCCCCAAATCCGGGTGAGCTGCAGTGCGACCCCCTAAAGGGGACTGATGAAACTGCAGTCAGAGGGGATCTTCATGAGAAATTTTATAATTACAAAATCTATTGAGGCACTCTTATTTCCTGGCTAGGAAATAGGCCGGATTAAAAATAAAAAGAGGAACAAAGCGTACATCGCCTTTTGTGAGGCCAACATATAATACACCGGACTCTCCCTGGCAGGGCAGTTCTGCTCTGTGCAAAGCGTGTGCTGCTATGTGTGCTAGTGCGCTATGCACCAGGGACTTCGATCTCGCTGAGATCCGGTCTCGGGAGCAAAGGACCCTGGGACCTCTGGGGCACACGAGCCATCTGACCCTGTCAGTCCACATCCAGCTCCTGACTGACCTCCACTCCGCCTCTGTGAAGACGGAGGCCACATCCTGAGAAAGTGGAGGCTGGCATCTTGCAAGTTAACAGCAAGCTGAGTCTCCCAAGGGGGCTGCACAGAGGCCCGGAGAGTGCAGAGGCAGGCAGGCCCGACTCCTGGGCAGGCAGGCTGGCTCCCAGCTGCACAGGGACCAACAGTGGGGCGTGACGGAGGGTAAGACACAGCGTCGACACCTGGAGACCCCACAGGAGGAAGGAGGCTGGGAGAAAGATCAAAGCTGCGAGCCTGTCTTCTCCCAGGGAACCCAACCGGCCTCTGACAGACACTTCGGGCAGCATGGTTGGTCCCCTCAAAAGCCCACACTTGCAAGCTCAGAGACGGGCTTGCTTTTACTCTCCAAAGGAGAGAAGTAGCAAGTGCTTTAAAATGCCATATACTTCAGTCAGACGAGGTGGTACAGCCTCCACCCCCAGCACTCAGCAAGTCTGAAAGACCAGCCTGGGCAATTTACGGCCTTAGCTTGTCTCAGAATGAAAACTAAAAAGAGCCTGGGCTGCAGCTCACAGCGAGGGTCTGGTTCAGTGCCTGGGGCCGCACTGAGATCAGTCTCGCTCGAAGTACCTCAGCTGCTGGGAAGTGCCTAAGAGGCAGTGACCTGGGGGTGGGGCTGGCGCGGCCTGTGGTGCCAGGGACCGAGCCGCAGTCCCTAAGCTCGCCTAGGCAGGCGCTTTAGTCGGCTGAGCCATCTTGCCAGCCCCAATACTCCACACCTCTAAGCAAGGCTGGACTCTGGACGTGGAATCGGGGCAGAGCACCTGACCCCAAGCTGGCTCCGCAGCGCGCTCTCAGGGTCTGTGCCACATGGGAAACTTTCGGTTCCCTCTCTGCTGGCCTCAACGCTCTGAGCGCACCAGGCACTGTGCTGATGTCACATGAGACCAGCTCTGCCGCATGTGCTGCCAGCCACAACCAACCCTGGCAGCTCTGTGGGGGTTGTAGTGTTTCAATGAGACGTCGCAAGGTACACTGGCCCTGGCAGCGGAGTCCACTCACCACCCGACAGTGTCGAGGAAGACGCAGCCCCGACCTCCTCCTGTGACAGGTACCACCCTGTGACAGGTACCAAGTGGGCACACATGGTGGCACAGCTGTGGAGGGCGATGGGGCTGGGCACATGCCTGCGTCCCACATTCTGCCTCTGAGAAATGAAGGCAGGCCTGCAAGCGACAGTGACTAGAGCCTGCACCCACAACTCCAGCTGGGGTCTCACTGTAGAGTGGGCAGCTCTGGGGACAGGTGACTGTCCCTGTGGGGTGCACGGAACAGGCCCGGCCCTCCTGAAGGGGTAGGGCTGAGTTAGGTGGTGCCAGGCAGGGCAGCAGTGAGTGACCTTGGGACCCAAGGGCTGCAGAGAAAGACGAAGCACAGCCAGAGGCCGTGGCCTTGCACACAGTGGCCACAGCAGCAAAGTGAGAGACTGTCCCGCGGGGGCCTCGAGAAGGTGCACAAGGGCCTAGATCACTCAATTTACACTCTTGTCCCCAGGAAATCAGGTGATCACAGGGTCAGGAGCTCATGACCCCCAGCGCAGATCCCAGCAGACACAGAGACCTCCCAAGTGGCACTGGGTGAGCTGGTGCCCAATCCCAGCGTCCTTCCTACCACCATACATGCCCACCACCCGGTAGGGCACCCTGGCAATGGCCCCACAATGGGGCACGGTGGAGCGCAGCCTGCTGGGACCCAAGCTGCAGCGGTGGGGACCCAGCAGGTATGTGTTCCTCCCCTGAGAGGTACTGGGGGAGTCCCACGGTGCATCAGGCATGGGAAGCTGGGGCTAAGCACAGAGGGAGGCCATACACAGCTTGGGACACGGCCTGCCGCGCTTGGACGCTGCTAACGTGGGGACTGCTTCTTCCTGAGCTGGTAACTGAGTCAGAGACCACACAGGCCTTGGGCGTGTGGCGGCTGCACTTACCGAGGACTCACTGTCCCTGACCAGGAAGTCGCCCTCCACGCCCCGCTCGTTGAGCGCGCACTCCGCCTGGTGGCGTGTCACGCTGCCGTAGTACCACTCGCGGCCTGCAAAGCGCCCACTGGCCGAAGGCCCTGTGAAGCCGGGCTGCGGGGTGGGCGCAGGGTGTGGGGCTGGCCCGTCGCTCAGCACCACCACGTAGTTCTTGGGGACCAGGCCCACCTGGCCCCGTGCGTTTCTGCACTTCCACCACTCAGGGTCATTCTCGGGCTTCTCGATGACCTCCATGGTCTCACCCTTGTCGAAGTTGAGCTCTTCCTCAGTGGCCGAGCTGAATGGGTATAGTGTCTGCACCACATGCAGTGTGCCCCGTGCCAGGCTCAGGCCAGGGGCCCTGCGTGGCCCGGGCATCCCGGGGGGCTCAGCGGCCGCGGCGTCCACCTCCTCCAGCACGTAGTTGGACGGGAACCATCCCACCTGCCCGTTGAAGCTGCCCCGCCACCAGCCGTCGCTGCACTTCTCCATGACGGTGACATGCGAGCCCTTCACCAGGGACAGCTCGTCCTCACGCTCAGCCACGTAGGCAAACTTCACAAAGGCCGGGATGCTGAGGTCGTAGATGCGGTCGGCCGCGCCGTTGGCCGGGAACTCGGCCTCTGTGCTGGGGGTCGGGGACGCATCCCGTGCGCTGGGCTTCCTTCGAGTCCTGCCGAGGCCTGTGGGGAGACAGCAGGCTCAGTGTGTGCAGTGGGCAGGGGACGCAGGGGCTGGGACGCAGCACCACCCAGAGGCTGCGTGGAGCAGCGGCAAAGTCACAGGGAAGGGCCGAGGCCAAGCTGACCTCTCCTCCACCCAGGACATAGGTCACCTGTGACCCCCAGGTGCAGGAACCGTGGAGAGTGAGGGAAGCACCACCAGCACTCGAGATGGCCTGGGGTCCCTAGGGTATGTGGCGAGGAGAGCTGAAGCGCTTGAACCCTTACGACAGTGAGAGACCGCTGCTAGGGGCCCCAAGCCCCTCCGCCCGCCACATCACACGGGTCCGCCACGCTCCACGGCAGCTGTGGCATCCTGCACGGCTCCACCAGCTGTGATCAGCAACTCAATGAAGGCTGCTGTTGGGCACCAGTGAACAGAAAGGCCAGCTCTGAAGAACAGGCTGCCACCCTCCCCCACCCACCAGGTGGGCCACCGTACAACTTCCAGCCCTTCCAGTAGTCAAAATGACCGCAAAGGGGTTTCTGAATTGGCTCAGGACCTGCAGGCAGCCGGGACAGCGCACCAAGTACACTAGGAGAGGCCTCGAGAGCTGGTGCAGAAGTGTGAGGCCGACGGGAGGGCGTGTCCAGCGCGGGGAACGCTCCAAGGGGCACTGGAGGCAGTGCCTCCTACTGCAGTGTTTTTAGAGTAAAATATCTCTCACCATTCAGGTGAAAGAAAGGCATCCAGGTGCTCTGCACCCTTGGAGAGGTCGGGTCTCTGCAGGGCAGCAGGGTCTGCGCCCTCTGCCTGCCACACCAGGGACCTGGGGCCCTGCACGCCCGCACACCAGGGACCCGGGACCCTGCACGGAAACGACGCTTTTTTCTGCCCTGGTTCTTACGTGAGTTAGGAAACATGAGCCCGCAGGTCCCGCTGGAAGCTGGTTTTCAGGGTGATTCCAACCACAGAGTCCCTGCAACCCCATGGGCCGGACGTGCTGGGGAGCCCCAAGAGGCTCCAACCCAGGGATGACCTGGAGACTCCCAGGCAGGGATGTGTGGTCTTGAGGGGAGGTCAGCACATCCTGGCCTTGGGCTGCAGCCCTCCCTAGAGATGGCCACCCGCCTGCCCATGGCTTTTGCCCAGTAGGCATAGAGGGTCTGTGGGTGTCCTTCTCCTTCCACAAGGATGCCAAAGCCCCCAGGTGCCTTACCTCTTTCTCCTTTGCTATGCCCTGAAGTAGCAGGGTGGTGAGCCTCGCCTGAGCAGGTCACACAGCCAGGTCTGAGGTCCAGCGGGGACAGTGCAGGCGGAGGGTGTGTGTAGGATGAGCCAGCTCCCCCCACCCATTCACCAAGCAGCAGCTGCCGCTGCCTCATCAGGGACTGCAAGACTGGACCCTGCTCGAAGAAAGCCAAGATCTCACAAGCTAAAAAAATGGGAACTTCCCCTAAGAACTCTGCTCTGCATGCAAACAGGAGATGCCAACCCTACAGCTCAGCCCTCCCCGTGGTGTCAGTCACAGAGCAGCGTGTCCACAGGAAGACCTTGCAGCAGCGGCACAACCCGGGGCCCACGGCACAGATGGACGGCCCTAACGGAAAACCCTGAGACCCGAATGCTCCCGAGGAGACCTGAGGCCTTCTCAGTGCCTATGAGCCATCGCTCCGGCCTGACCTCGAGTCTGGCCAAGACCCGGGCACTGTGCTCACTCGCCACTCACCGGAAGGAACAAAGCAGCAGGGAATTTCTGTTCAGGGCTGGGGTCCATCTGCAGGACCTCATCCTGGTGCGTAGACATCCCCCACCCCAAGCCAACTTGAAAGCCCAACACCTGTGGCCGCAGTGCAGACAAGGGGTTCTTCCTTTTTCCGCTTTATGACTGTCATCTGGTGTGGCACCAGGGAGGGGACCCAGAGCCTCTGCACTGAGCTCACCCCCAGCTCCCCTCCCTCATCCTTTTAAATGCTGGGCTGCGATTTCACTAAGTTGTTACACTGCCCACCCTGGGTTTGAACTCTTAATCCAAGTTTCCTGCCTCAGCTTCCTGGAGCCCTGGGATTACGGACATGTGTCACCATCCCCGGGTCAGAGAAGGCATGCGGAGACTTCTGCCCAGAAGGCAGAGAGAGCCCTGAAGCCACCAGCCGGGTGCCGAAATCCTCTGCAGGTCTGTGCTACACCACTCACCAGGACCAGGGAGCACAGCTTTTGGGGAAAAGTGTCGCAAGGCACACTTAGAAACGTCGTCTGTGGACGTGCCGGCTACACAGGCCACAAAGCTCCTAAGGAGTCCCAAGGGCAGGCCGGCACCCTTCCGGACCCTGGACACACAGGCTGGGGCCACCGCAGAGGCTGGAGGACCGACCCGTGACCGTGCTACATTGCTGACCTTTCCCAAGACCACGTGAGCCCAGTCACTGAGCCACGGAATCCTGTGACACCTGGCACCACCCAAGACTGCGCCCTACCTGGCGCTAATGATACGGACAGCAAGCCCACGCAGCCACTGAAGCCTCCGTCCCCTGCCTGACATCCACAGGCAGCTGCTCCCTGGGGTGCACAGGCGCCTCGGCCAGGCACATGGCTGGGCTGCTTCCTTCTGGGCCTGTGTGTGCCCACATCTCCCATGTCCCCTGTAGCTAGCTCGTGCCGCCCATGTCCAATCCCCCCGCCTGCCTTGGCCTCCACAGTGCTGGGCACTGAGCGCAGGGCCTGGTGCGTGCCAGGCAGGCAGGGTATCCCAGCCCCAACCTGCAGTTCTTAGAGAACGCCTGTCATGCTGGGTGGGGCCTGCCTCAGGGACCTTGCCTGCACTTTGTCACGATGAAAGGCCTTGTCTCCCTGCAGTCAGGTTCTGCAATGGAGACAGGGACAGGGACAGCGCAGGCCCATCTACCTGCATGAGGTGACGGTGCCAGGCTCGGCTGGGCTCCCAGTGGCGTGTTCACCCAGCACACGGGGCCTTATGTGCAGCCCCAGCACAGAAGGTGCTCCGGATGGGAAGGAGCCCGAGGGCCTCGTGTCTCCTCAGTCCAGTCTGACTGGACTGGACTGCTGCCGCAGGGTGCGCTGAGCCCCAGGAATTTCATTTCTAGCCTGCAGGCTGGGAGTCCAGGTCCTGGCTCAGACAGTGGTTGCTTGGGCCTCTGTTCAAGGTCACTCCACCTCCATCCCTGAAGCTCAGGGTCTCAGGACCCAGGCGCCACCTCCTGGTGCCACTGCATGGACACTGAGGTTTCAACACAGGACTGGACAGGACACAGGCTGAGCAGTGGCCCGGCCAGGTCTGTGTCCCTGGGCCGCAGCCTCCGCCAGCCGCTGGCTGTGGAACGCTATGCTCCACTCAGGACCTGGCGAGCAGGTGACTGACAGTCTCCAGGGCCGTCCCTGGCCAGGCAGCAGCCCGGCTGAGGTGACAGTCTCCAGGGCCGTCCCTGGCCAGGCAGCAGCCCGGCTGAGGTGACAGTCTCCAGGGCCGTCCCTGGCCAGGCAGCAGCCCGGCTGAGGGCGCCGAGACAGTCCTTCTGAGCCAAAAGCCAGGCCAGGTGGCCCCAGTGCGCGGCCCAGCAGGTCTCCGAGGGAGGCAGCTTGCTGCTGTCGTGGGCAACGACTCCGTCACACTTAATGATCAAATAGAGCGCACTCGTTCTGTGGGCAGACAGACGGCACCACTTTAAGCGGCAAATGGCCGAGCTGGATTTAACGGTAAACCACACTTTTCCCATTTCTGTGATGATTTTTTGGCATCAGGCTATTAGATCCCTGATCCCAAGTTACACTTTCATTGATGATAATAAGCACATTTAAACTTTTCTGAATAAAATTACATACATTAAAGATGAGTTCTAATAAAAGCTTGGCTATGTCATACATTATTAATGTTAGTAATTTTAAAGTCAAAATCTTTGATGTACTCCTCTTGAGATGAAGGGATGTTATAACAGATGCCTTTAAGACACGCGCCGACTGTCGCCTTCCAGCTGGAGTTTTGGAGATTTAAGACGGAATGTCAAATCTGATAGTTCCGAAATCTACTCCAGTTGATTCATTTAGCCAGCGCACTTCAGTCTTAGGCATTCTACAGTGAAATCCTTTAATTTTTTTCTCACTAATCAGATCCGTAACATAAACCAGACTCAGCCAGAAAACCTCCTTATGCTTGAAAGGCTGTGAGTGTGCTGAGCTCCTGCTAGCGATTAAGGGGATCGAGCGTTAAGAGTCAACTAAACACAAAGCCTTGTCATTCAGCGCCCAGGGACCTGGTTCAGGACGGAAGCCGCGTCCACGGAGGGGGCTAACGTCTGCTGCCTTTCAGGCCACTCTGGGCTGCCTGGATCCGCGCCTGGCACGGGATGAGATCGGCTTCCTGGGCCAGCAAGATGGCTCCGTGGCATGAGCGCCTGCGTTCTGAGGCAGCAACCTGGCCAGCACCTTCATGCCGTCTGCCCAGACTCGCTTGGAGACCTGCAACTTGTGCCCAGGGACGCGCCAGTCGTGGGAAGCTCTGTCCAAGGAGGCTGGGCCAGGAGGGCCCGGCTCTGGCACGATCGCTGAGTTACCGTGGTGGTCATCTAACACGGCCGAAGCCCTTACAACAGCAGCTCATCTTCCCAGCGGCCACGTCCTCTTCTCCCCCCACCAGCTCTGGCCACAGTCTCCTCTCACCTCTCCCGCGCACACAGGGGAGACCCCAGTCAGCTCCTGACCTGCTACCTGGACCTGCCCCTCAAGCTCCACCCTCGCAGAAGTCCTTGGAGGTCTCAGCTCTCTGTCTTGGGTCAAAAGATCCCCTTGCTGCCCTCGATCCCCTCTATCTTTGGAGTTAATAAAGGCTTCTTTCATCTTTCCCATCTCTTTACTGTGTCGTCCGAAAAACCTAAGAGTCCATGTGAGGGATGAGGAAGCAGAGCTGGCAGAAGAAAGCCCAGACAGGCAGGCAGCAGGCAGATGGATGGACACTCAGGCAGGGCCCTCAGCACTCGCAGAGCCTGACCCACCGGGCTCTCAGTGT